CTTTTGAGTCTGTTGTGCTCTTAAGGATCCCATAACCTGTTTGTCTTGACACAGCTTTCTTCACAGCAGGAGTGCATGGAAAAGATCTGAGTGATCTTGAAGATTAGTCTGGTATGGTGTTTTTTTTTTTTTTTTTTTCTTTCTATCTGGTTTGATCATCCATTGTTTTTGAACTGCAGCTCACAATATGACAGAAGAAACTCGAAATAAAAATAGCACCTCTAATTTTCCATTTGCTTCTGGTTCTGTGTTCTAAATGGGAGGAACAATTTCTTATCCAATTTATGATGTGAACTGTTTTTTCAGGAATTTTCTCTGCCTGTGTATATTCATTTTGCTTGTGCAAAGGTCACTGATTTCACATAGAGTTTTTGGGTGCTGCTCTTAGTAATATATTATAAAGTAACAAAAAGAGAAAACGCAAGGGTGACACTTCTTAAACAGTGTGTTAAAGTTTAATGGTAGTGTGAGTCTGCTTGTTTGGCCAGCTGTACTTTTTGGTGCAGTTAGTGCTGGGCTGCAGAGATGTGCTAGGTGAGATTTTGGACCTTTGTCCTGGTAAAAAAAGTTATTTTCATGGAAAATGTTCCTTTATGAAGCAGCGTCAGGAAGGAACAAAAGCATTGCCTTGTTCGTCAGGCAGAAACAATAGAGCTGCTTTATTGTGGCAGACTTTTTCTTTTAAAAAATCCCTTAAATAAAATCAGTGACTGCATGCATCTTGGGCATTCTAATTAGAAACATTTCTTCTTAATTGTTTTTTCTTGCAGTGGTTTCTTGAGCAGTTTGCATTTTCAAAGAGCAGAGGCGAAGTATTTGCTGTGAAAAGTGTTATTTGAATTAAGTCTTTTCAGATTTTACTTTAACTGAAATCACCCCTTGTGGAATTACAGTAAAATGTAGCAAGATGTTGATTTACAGGATCTTCTGCCTTCATCTCAGCAGTAAAGTGTGGAGCTTTCTGTGATCGTGAAGTTTCATCCTTAAAACGTGATTGGTCTTGGGTTTCTTTCCGAAGGTTTTTTTAAGGAATAGAGATTATAAAAAGCTTTGAATAATAAAATTCTCTCGTATGTTTTCATCTTTGTTATGACTTGCAGCACTTTAATAAGCCTGGCTTACTACAAATTTAATTTAATGTTGAAACTGTTTCTGCAAAATAGATTTTGTGTCTTAAAAGGGTGGTATGAAAAGTAATACCTTCACTAAAATGTGATTTTACTTTTAATGTTTTTCCCTTTATAAAACAGGACTTGAGATGTTTGGATCAAATGCCATTGAAATTGAATTTTGAAATAATTGAAATTTGAAAATAATATCTAAAGATAATACTTAAGTCTCTGTGGGCCTTGGTCCAGGTAACTGATATGAATCTTTACAATAAGCTTGATTTCTTAAACCCAGCACTAGTAAATTCTAATAGGCTGATTGCTCAAGTTCTGTATAGAAGGATTGTTTTTCCCTGAATCTGCAAGGAAATATATACAAGCTCTGATTTGTCAGCTGAATTTGGACTGGACTATTACTGCAGAGCTGAAGGGCTGTTTCCAGTATTATGTATAGGGTAAAATTGCTTTTTGTTTTAAGTGGGTCAGTGCCATAGCCAAGATGCCAGGCAGATGCATGATCCTTGATTAAATAGGAATAAAAATGAATCTTAGAGGATCTTCAGGATACTTCAGCGTGCTGAGCAGATTGCTAATATGTATGCATGCTCTTCAATAATTCAATTTTCATGAATTATAAAGTTATATTTCTCTATTAAATCTGACTGAGTTTCATGCTGCTCCTGGGATTTCCTAGCATCATATCAAACATGTGGGCAGAATTGTTCTAGCAGCCTCTCTCTCTGAGATTATTTCCCGCTCTCTTTCAGTCACAGTTTTTCTGCTGTTTTGGGCCTTTAGTTTCTGACCATCCCAGTAATTTGGACCAGAGCACAATAAAAAAACTGGGCAGGACAGGCTGAGTCCTCACCATATGCACAACCCTTCCAGAGGGATGAGCAATTGAGTCCTGCTCTTTTGAAAAACCAGGAAGGGCAAAGGCTGTGTTTTGTGCACGCTTTTTGTGTTTTCCAAAGAAATAAAAGGCAGAAATCCAGCTCTTGGGTTTTCAGACCCTGGAGCATCTGACAGAATGCAGGGACTGCCAGATGCTGTGGTGAGATGATCTGCTAAATCCTTCTGCAAGGACTCATTGAAGAGTGAGAAAAAGGGTCAGTGGCACTTACACACTGCATCTCAGAGTCCTCTGCAGATGTTTTTCAAGGCAGCAAGAGCAAGGGCCTGGTGGAATTGCTATGGAAACAGAGCTTATATTATTTATTTATTTACTTACTCATTTATGCACGCATGTATTTAAACCCTGCCTTCCCTTAATGGCATGTCTTGGAAGTCACCCAGTTTGAGGAGACTTTGTTCATTGGAAATGGGGGAATGTGAAAAGCTGGCTGCTGGTCAGCAGCTCCAAGGTCCAGCAGTTCTGCAGAAAACACTGACAAAGTGCAATCTGAAACTGGAGTGCTCTGTTGTTGTAGCAGAAGAATATGTAGGCTAAATTGAACCTTTTTTTTGTATTTGGAGTTGCAGAAGTGTTATTAAACATAAAGAAAGGACAGAACTGCAGCTTTCCAGTGATACTGGTACTGAGTGACATTTAAAGAAGAGTTGGTGGTAATAAGGCCTTTTTGAACATTATCCTGTGAAGGATTTAGAGGAGTGGTGTGGCTGGCAAGGCATTCTCATACCAGGGCAGCAACCTGGAGGGAGAGTTAAAACAACTGCACTCTACTGAATCTCGGTGTTGGTGAAGAATGCTGGAATTCAATTTTATTTGTTGAGTGTTAAATGCAAAGCTTGTCATTAATGCATGCCTAAAAAGGGTTGTGGAAAACTACTCAGAACTTTGTCCAGTATGAAGTGGGATCACGAAGGAGCTGGAAGCTGCAGGTGACATTGTCATATGGTTTTCAAGGCATGCTCTTCTCAGTCTCAGCTTTGTTGCATATATTCAGAAGCTTTAAAAAAAAAGTGTTGCAGTAAGAAGGGCAATGTGGAGAGGTGTTTTAGCATTGCAACATCTATAGTTTTTGGATAGGGGTGTTTCTGTTTTTTTTTTTGGCAGTCCTCTGGTGTATCTGATAGTTGTTCTGCACTCCTGGAATGCTGAATGCAAATCACACCATTCTCTGACTGGGGTTTGCTGTTTGGGGTTTATTTAAACTGCCATGTTTATCATGCTACAGTTGGGCATTAAGAGACACAAAGGAGCTGTTCCTGAACCTGAATTTGATTTGTTGTGGCTTCCCATGCAGGCACAGGACATTTTCCTGCCCCCTTGTTCCGTGCAGTGTGTCATGGCAGGACATGGATGCTGCAATGGTGTCTGCATTGCTGCCTCTGCAGTTCTTGGGGTCTCTATTAGCATCATGACATGGTTTTGGCTTTTTTTCAAGCATTGTGTGAAATGAGGAGGATTTGTTCAGGCCATTGAGCCTGAAACTTTACACTTAGGCATCTTTTAGTCAATTGTTTGGCTGAAAATCTCGATTTGGGTAGTTGTACTTTCTGTCAGTGCAGCTAACACTGCTGCACTTGGAGTGAAACACTTCTGCAAACCTGACATTGTATAACATGGAGGAATTTGTGTCTCCCTTTTATAACTGCTGTAATTTATAAAATGAAGAACGCTTGCTGTAAAGCAGAACATTTTTATGAGTGTGAGGGATTCTTTCTTTAATCTTTTTTGTGGACTGTGGGTAATGCATTACTTCTACAAGAGCTGGTAATTTCATACCTGAGGTATTTGAACAGCACAGTTGCAATCTGTGGAACATCAGCCTTTTGCAGCATATAACCAAAGACAAATTGTAAAAGGCTGATGCTACCACAAATGCTTAATTATAGGTCTTTGATAATGCTGGCATTGGAAAGGTGGCATTCTGCATACCTTTATTAGCTGTTCTGTCTAACTCTACTACAATGTTACTGTCTCCTAAAGACTGAATTAATACACAAGAGCCACATTTTTTTATGCAATTTCCTTTGCAATACTGTTGGTTTGTATGTAGGTCAGAATCCAGGTTTGTTTGTCCTGGATCTTTTATTGACTCTTTTTGATTGCTAGGAGTGATAGAAGAGAAGGGGCTAACATTTTATAAAAGTATATTGTAGGAGAAAATTAATTTTCCTTATAAGAGGCCATTGTTTTTGTTCTATAGCACAATTTTCCTTTTAGATGACATATTATTGTTTAAAAGATTCAATTATCTATGTTCAATGTTTAACTATAGTGTTCTTACAATAGAGACCTTTGTTCTCCAGAAAAATAAAGCCTAGTCAGTAGTTTGATAAAGTACTTTGCAAAAATAGCTTTTTGATTTCAATGCCAGTCTTTAATTAATGAAAATGATTGAATGCACTGGAGCTAATCTCCCAACAAGCAAAAATTAGTAGAGAGACATATGGGCAGTGATAAATGCTGTTTGCCTTGCCTACCTCTAAATGTTGAAGTGTGTGGCAGTAAGTGTGACTTCTCAGGTATTCAGGAATAAATTATGGTTTTCAGTGTGCAAAAGATTTAATTTTGCTACCATAATTTTCAATACTGCTGAGTTGCCAAGCAGTTCACTTACACTCCTCCCTTTTTCTAGGCTTTACATGCAAATTTTCAGTTTCAGTGCTGTATACATTGGTGTTTTGCATTAGAAGAGAGTGGCAAAGAAACCAAGCTGCAGATAGTGGATTTTGCATTTCTTTTTGAGCTGCCTGATTATACATTTTTATTGAAGTTTGTGTGAGCCAGAGTTTTTTAATTTTTTGTGGACTGCAGTTAAATCCTCTGAAGCCAATTTTTTTCAGCTAGGGCAGGCAAACTTCCATGGAACATAGTGGGAGTTTTGTATGGATAGCTCCTGTGAGAGTTCCCTCCACTGGGTGCTGCTAGGTGTTGTTTTGAGTGATAAATGTGTTCCAATTTTGTACTCTTTGTCTTTGCAGTGTTCTGGATGATGAAGGGAGCAGCCTGCGTCAGCAGAAGCTTGACAGACAGGTAAGATTTTGGAGGAAGGACCTTCTTTCTCCCTAAAGTCTGAATCCTGGAGTAATGAAAACACTGATAATTGATAGAAAATTCCATCCTCTGACTGGGGGATGCAGTAGAGAGATCTGTGGAGGTGGAAGTTAACTCACAAGTCTGACTTCCATGAAAATTTGTCTTCTGGCTGTGGTTTGAGTGATTCCAGCTGCCTTGGCCTTGTTTTAAGCTGATGTACAATGTATTTGTTACCCCACTATGGAACAGCCACACCAGAGGTTAACCACAACGTTTTTATTCAGTGGATTTAGCTCTTGTGGCTCTAACCTTGGGGCACTGTGTGCTATGTTGCCTGTTTTCTGACTGCATTCCTTCAGGACTTGTGCAAGGGAGTCCCATCCCCACGCATGAAATCTGAGGGAATTGTGTCATCAAGTTTTAATGGGAGTTGAGGTTTCTGCTTTTACTTTGATTTCTGTGGTCCCCTTCTCAAAAAAGTTGTCATTTCTACAGTTAAACCTTGTGAATTTAATTTTATCCTTTTCTATTGCCACTATTTCACCAGCTTGCATGTCTACCAGCGTCTCATTTTCAAATTCAAGTGCTATTTATGCCACAATCCTGTATTAACTCTGATTATGTTGGAGTCATGTTGAGGTGTTAACACAACTTAGGGAGCTGAAAGAGTTCACTGTCCATTTTTATGCCTCAGTTTTATTCCATCTCCTTTCTGGAAGCTAAAATAATACTGTACTGAAGCAAGGAAATGGTAAGGTAATAGATAAGTAAAATTACCAGTTCAGTTCTCTGAGGTTGTGGAAGAGAACTCAAATAAGGTCCCTATGGTGCTGCTAGATGCCAAAAGTTTTGGTTTTCAGCAGGTCTAGCTGAGAAATTTAAGTGTTTAATTAAAGTTCATCCATTATAGCTGTTAAATTAGGCTTGTGTCCACTATTATCACTCGATTCTAGTTTGCAATTACCTGCTTTTAATTTACAGAAACTGAAATTGGCATCTCTGCCTCATGCCCTTGCTTACCCTCCCATTTCTTCACAGCCAGTATTCTCACACTGTTGTTTTCCCAGGGGTTATTTCCAAGCAAGCTCTGACAGCTGGTGGGCCGCTCAGAAAGATGTATTTTAATTATTGGCCGTTTTCTGCAGAAGATGTTTCAGCAGTGGGTTGGTTTGTGGTTTTTTTGGAAACATTTCCAGTAACCCAACATCCCAATCTCCCGCTTGCCGGCTGCCGCCGCTGTAAATCTGGGGATGCTGCAAAGCTGACCCTTGTTTTCCATCGCAGGTTGCTGCTGTTTGGAGCCCAGTTAGAGATGCTTTTCTCTGTGTTTTCTGCAGAGAGCACTGCTGGAACAGAAGCAGAAGAAGAAACGCCAGGAGCCACTGATGGTTCAGTCCAACGTGGACGGCCGGGCGAGGACGCGCAGGACGAAGCATTCGGAGGAGCAAGCCCCGCTGGTTGAATCTTATCTCAACAGCAACAGCAGCACCATCTACCATGGTACAGAATGTCAGGTTGTTTTCTTTAAAAGGGCCAAACAGCTGGTAGTTGCTGTAAAGTTGTTCATTGTAAACGTCAGTAGCGAAAGGCAAAGAGTCACGAGCGTTAAAGTCCGTGTTAAAAGTTTCTTGGCAAAGAGTCCTCAGTGAGTAAAGTCCCAATTAGAAGCAGAAGCTGCTCCTGTCGAGGCCCTGGGAGGGCCCATGTTGCTGCTGCAGCCCCTCTCTTCTTCTTGGGTGTTGATGGTGATGAGAAGAAAAGTGAGAGAACAAGAGCGAGTCTCTCCCCAGGGCAGATTCTTATGCACAAATTACCCAATAAGCTAAAAACACCAACCCGAACCATTTCTTCTTAAGCTGTTAGAATTCTAGTTTCTTAGCCTGCCAGGTTATGTATAAACTGCCCATGTGGTCTGTCTTGTTCTATCTAAAAAATGTAAGCAATATTCTTACTATAGTTTTATTATGTCTAAAACTATGTTCTTGGAGCCTATATGGAAATTTGTGTTCAACAATAGTACCTAGGACTATGTTTTTCAACCTTCACTAGAACTTGCTCTTCTACACTGGTATCTAAGACCTTTACTCTTTAAAGCACTTAAAACATATTCTTACTTATTTAAACTTTCTTATTTGCTTATTCTAAAACTTAAACTTGCACCTCTACTTTATGTACAAGTGGCTTAATATGCTTCAATCCATCCAAAGGTTTTCATTCAATCCCTGCACTCTAATCTCTCTCTGAAGGATTCAGAGAGGCTTCTGATTTACAGACTCCAACAACCTTTGGCTGTCATGGTTCAGAATGTCACCTCTGGCAGGAATATTTGCTGAGAGTCCTAGTGCAGTGCTAATTTTGTGCTCGTCAGAATAAAGACTATTATCAACACCTTAATGAAGGGATGGGACCACTGTCAGGCTAAAAACAACTTATTACTCAGATATAAATCAGCCTCAAAGGCTGTGAGATTTTAGAGGAGCAAGAAGTTGGCCATAGCTCAATGTAGTCAAAAGTTTTTGTTACAAGGCAATATATAACATTCTAACCCAATGGAAAGTTGCCACAAACTTTATTTTGTTTTTCTAACCTGTCACCTTTACTTAATTCTGATATACTTTTATCCTATGGGCTACTGCTACAGGTACACACATATGCTTCTATGATAACATCTAAACTCTATGCAGTTAAATTACTACACTGTCAAACCTTTCACCATCTGTCCCAATGCAGTTTCTTACTTACTTAAGGCATATTATCCGTATAACTATAGAAATATAAGTTTATATTTTTTCTGCTTAATGTCTGTGTGCTTTTATTTTTACATCAGTCCAAGCTTCTTCTAAGGCTGCAAATCAAACCCTTCAGTATCTGTGGAAGTTTCTATTTTTCCATTTCCTACAAAAGGCTCTTGTTTTGTGTATGTTAGGAAATCATTGATATCCTTCACTTGTGTTTGGGGATATAAAACCATCAGAACTTGCAATGTAGCCCAGCAGGAGGGAGCAAGGTAACTCGCTGTCATTTCAGTGCTGACCTGGGAAAGAGACAGCTTTTCCCTTCTGCCATGACTATTTAAGTGTCTTCAGCCTTGGTTCCTGCCAAGTAAAGCTGATGGGTTCTACTCTGAGCATTCCTCTGCATGTAATTTTGCTTAAGTCTGACAGTTCTTAATGATAAATTTGAAACCTATTAACTAAGTTCAGCTGGGACTGAATGTAGTGATTTCAAAGATACTGTGTCTCTGCAAAGTCCATCAAAACGGGTAGAGAAGAACATTTCAAACTTGTGTGATGTCTCCACTTTCTTATTAAAGATTACAGGATCCAGTAGAGACTCAGTCACTTCAGGTGTCACACCCACAGGGGAAAAAATTATCATTATTATTACCTTAATTATCAGAAATAAATCCTAAGGAAACCAGGCATTATTTAGTTCTGTCTTTATATGGCCCATGCTTATTGGCCCTCTAAGGATGGTGTGGCATACTTTTCCTCAGGATTTCCTAAGGGGTAGCCTGGGTAATCCTTGTCCAAAATGTCACTCTTGTTGATATCATTCCAGGTTGATAACACCTCCAAGACATTTAGAGAGCAGTAATTTTCCAGTTTTCTTGTTTTGCAGATCATTGAGTTGAATAGAATTCATAAGGGATTCATAAGCTTCAATAACCAAAGGTTTGCTTCCCTGATTATTGATGAGTTTGTGGGACAGGAGCTGAAATCTGCTGATATTGATTGGGAAAGCAGTTGGCAGCTTTCTGCTTGGGAATGGTGTTAGGTGGCAGGGCACTCAGGTTTTGGGGTTTGCACATTAAATCTTCAGATGCCTTTGTGAATCTAACTCTGTGAAAAAAAAAAAAAAAATTATTTACCAGTTTTCTATTCTTATACAAACAAAAACTGAACCCAGCATTCAGCTCAAATTTCTGTCAATTTTATTGCATGTGCTCTTCTTTTTGTCTCCCTGCTGTTTTATTTTCACTTGGTGGTCTTATTTTTCCACAAGAACGAGGTGGGTATTTAGTGGACTAATAAATTCTGCTCTGAGAAGTGCAGATTTCAGTCTTTCCTCCTGATTAACAATAAATGGAAATTTTTAGCTGATTGCAGCTACAGAATTTACTGTTAGAATCTGGAAATTGCATTGTTTGAATGTTGAGGTTTTGGTAATAATGGGCCTTTTAAATCTTGTTTCTGCAAGCAAGTAGGATACCATAAGTGGTTTCAGATGGAGAATTATTTTTTAAACTTAGTATTATTTTTTTTCATTAGTAATATTTCTCTTTACTGTCTGTTTCTCAGGGTCTGGGATGTAATTTTTAAAGATTAAACTAAATTTCCTTCCAGTCTAAACCAAAAAAAAATTGATTCAGCACAAACATTTAGTTTATTTTTTAATCGGACAAAATAGAAATTCTCTTTTTCCTCTTATTCTCAAGAGTTTATCAAAATTCAGAGCTGTTTTAAGATATAATATCTTATAGTAGAGAGATGCTGCTGTTTATTAAACCCTCTATACTGTCAGTTGATTAAGGTTTTAATTTTCACAAATCAGAGAAAAAGACATTATCATCCCATAATTGGTAACAAATTTCATATATGCACTAACTGAGCTAAATTTTACACCAGTTTGCACCAGAGTGGACTTTCTCCACTAATAAGTGTGATTAACTGTGCTCTTAAGGTAAAACTGACCCTTCTTCCATTCACTGGAATACTTAGGATTTATTCTCCCTAAATCAGTTTGTTCTAAATTTGTCTCTCAAACCCTTTTAATGTTTCACAAGGTTTCAGAGAAGCAAAGAAATAGAATGTTTCTCATATTCAACACGACATTTGTTAATCCCTTGGGGCAGCTCTCCTTGTAATAAACCATGCAGTTTGCAAGAGCCAGCTTAGAAGAATTTAATTACCTAACAGGATGTTTTATTGCCTTGTAAAATCCTTTGTTAGGCACGTTGCTTTTGAAAATATTATAAGAATCTAGAAGTGGCCTTTTTTTGGTGTGGCCTTCTCTGGGAATGTGCATAATGTCTTCAGTTCCCCAGTTTGCATGGGGATTGATGACCATTTTTAATTGTAGCATTGAGCTTCAGGGCTTATGGGTTTTTTTTTTTTTTTTTTCCCCCTTCAATGAAAACATTTGTATGTGGCAGTGTGGGATGCATGAGACAGCTGGGCTGTTTCTAAAGAACTATTCTGCTCCTTTCCGTTCATTTGTTGCTGTTATGGGCACGCTGGTTCCAAGTTAAGAATGACTCTTTGATGGGAGTTGATGCTCTGCTGAATGAGCTACACTGCTTGGATGAGCATGTTTGTGAAATCAATTCCTGTGCTGGCAAATGCTACAGAAAGAACACTTCTTTCCACCTATCATCCTGCTCCACTCTCCCTTTTTAGCTTGTACTAATTCTGTGTGGCACAAAAGTACTTGTTGATTTCAATAAATAATTGGATGCCTGTGTGGAGATATGTCTATGGTACTTTGAGCAAAGTAGGTCAGAGATAACATCTCAGCAATTCTCAGATGCTGGGCTTTCTGTGCTGGGAAATTCTCCTTCATACACTGCCATTGCTTATTCTGATGCCATTATCTGTGCTGGGAAATTCTCCTTCATACACTGCCATTGCTTATTCTGATGCCATTATCTGTGCTGGGAAATTCTCCTTCATACACTGCCACTGCTTATTCTGATGCCATTATCTGTGCTGCAATGGTTCCCTCATGGGCAGCTCTACTGTGCAGTAAAAACTCATTTAATTCCAGGATAGTTATCAGAGCTTGGAGTAGAAAGTCAGTCATTCTTGTTCTGGAATAGAACATTGGCCTGGTGAGCTACCTGTGGGTAGATAGAGTAGAACACCACGTTTTGCTACTTGAGTTAATTGTGTATTGCCAGAAACGCCATATTTTTTTTCTTAGATGACTTCAAGGCAGAGAAATGACACATTGGAAGGACAAAATGGTATTTATGTTCCCTGCTAATTCCTCTGAGAGCCATGAGACTTTCAAGGAGATGGATGCCCTTCCAGTCAGGAAGTGGCTCTGCACAATCCACCATGCACAAGTCTCCACACAGAACATTTCTTCTCATTTGTGCCCATATTTCACCTACAGACAAAAGTCTTCAGATACTGTAGCTTGCAAATGACTTGCATGCAGTGTATCTTAAAAAAACCCTTTTGTTGTTGACATAAGGCCTAATTAATTAATAGCAACAGAAGTTTTCTGCAGGTGCTGAGATGAATTAGACTGAAAAGGCCAAGTTGAGATGAGAACTCCTTGGCTCTTTGGTCTCTAAGGGGTTGGTTTGAGCTGGAGTCCCAGCCAGGGCTGGCACAGTCATCTGCAGGTCAGGTACATTTAGGCTCTGCATTTACCTGCCTGCCATTCCAAGGAATAGGAGCTTTCCACTGACTTCCATGATGCTGTTCCATGGCTCTAGTTGGTCTTATTTCCAGTAAAGCCTCTCTCTCTCAGTACCAAACACAGCTCAGTTG